ACTTGTTTATTATAGTAGTAAACATTAGTAATTTATGGGTATACACTCTGACTTGAGACTTCATATGAAATGACGACCGAATGAAACCGATTTAGTGAAGGTGGTGGTTTAGGGGGCTGGTAAACTAGTAACTTATGACAAAAGAAAGTTATCCTATGGATTTACTCCATTTTTAAAAATACAACATTAAATAAATAAACAAACAAATGGTTCGAAAAATTATCCGTTTGGTTAACAATGTGACCATATTTTTGAATTTGAAAGTATTTGAGAAGTAAGATTGTAGGAATATGTACATAATGAAGTAATTTTTTTTTATTGATAATTATTAATTGTTTATTCATATACCTACTTTTTAAAAGTATTTTTTAACATTGAACTCACAGAACATGTAAGTATATATAAGGGCTTAGGTCTCGTCCCAAGCAAATTTCGAGTTTCTCGACAAAACTACCTCCGTTACTACATTTTAGCAACACGTAATGTAATATAAGCAAATATCGTTACATTTCTGCGTTTTTCTCTGTTGATTATATATTTTATTCATAGTATTTAGTTTTCTGTATTTTGTTAAAATAACACTGGATATCGGCTTACCGTCGTTTGTTCGAAATCTTCAGTTTAAAGAAAAAAACAATTGTGTTGAGAAAATCAGAGTTAAAAAATAAAATAATATATTATAGTAATATGTTTTTTACTGCTTGCTATTGCTATTTGGGCTTCCTAACTATTATGTAGGTATGAGAAAAATAAAATATTCAAAAGAAAAAATATGATTAAAAAAAAAATTAATTGGTATATGTACGGATTATGGTTCGCATATAAACTTTTCACYCCATGTACCTTTTTTKAGTATAAATTCTGCCAGCAGAATAATCGATTAAAATTGAGTTCATGTCGATCTCATGTTCATGTCAACTCCACCTGTGAAGAAAATCAAGTAACAGTACCTATATAAAATCAATAGAACATATTATTATTGAAGAAATAAATTATAATTTTTATAATAATAATTTAAACCATTCACATCAAATAACAGTTAAGTGTAATATGCCAAAAACTATACAAAACTTAATTAGAAAAATAATGACTGTCCGAAAAAATCAAACAATTTATTACAATATTGTGAGATACAATTTGTAGATATTTTGAATATTTATAACGTCCTCTAACAAAAATGTTTTTGAGCTTATTTAGCTGGTATTAATTATTAT